GAGGTTGGTGCTCTCAGCTGTCGGGTTCTGTCAGCCCTGCGCGCCCGGTGCCGCAGCCCCGGCCCTGCGGTGGGTGCTGCGGTAACCAGGGCCCTGCCTTCTCTCAGGGGAGCTGATGGATCTGATCCGGAGGGAGGGGCAGAGGATGACCGCCGCGCAGCCCTCGGAGACCACCGTGGGCAACATGGTGCGGCGAGTGCTGAAGGTCATTCGGGAGGAGTACGGCAGGTGAGGTGCCCCTCTCGTGCTGTCCGTGCCCCTCCTGGGAGCCCAGCCAGGACTGCTCTCCTGCACAGCGTGTTCTGCTGCTTCTGTGAGCCCCTTCAGGCTCCATCGCTCTGCTCCCGCCTCTCCCCTGGAGGGATTCAGCAAGTTTCACACCAACAGAAACCTGCCGTTTTCAGTGTAGCTGAGGACGTTTCTTCTAGTGAAACTTCACTTGGCACGTGTTGTGGGTGCATCAGAACAGTCTGTCCCATGACCTCAGGCTGTTCTCTCGGCTGTTCCCAGGAGGGTCTGTCCTGGAGCAGCAGCCTTGCATCTGCTGCTCATCTGCAGTGCTCACCTGTGACTTAGGAAGGCCCTTCCTGGCAGAATTTCGGGCATCTTTATGCCAGAGACAGCTAGGGAGGTTCTTTTGGTGGCAAGGTGTGCCTCCTGTGTGTGGTTTTCCTTCCTCTTTCACATCCAGGTGTGCTTCCCTGTGTCAGCCTGGCCGTGCCCCTGTGCTTTCTCCTGAGGCTGAAGGTCTGATTCTCTCTGCAGGCTTCATGGACGCAACGAAGAGAGTGACCAGCAAGAATCCCTGCACAAACTCCTGACTTCTGGAGGACTGAGCGAGGATTTCAGCACCCCTTATCCTCCCCTCAGAGCTAACGTTATTGAAGCTATTAATGAGCTGCTAATAGAGCTAGGTACGGGTGGGTCTGAACTGCCCCAGGAGTGGTGCATCTTACGGGGTGGGACTGGTGCTTCCCCCTCCTCTTAGGTGAAAAGAAAACAGCAAGGATCTGGGAGGCTTAATCTGAAGGAATTAATGAACTGCTGCTCCCAGGACTTGGCTTAATTCCTCTTTGGCTTATGGGGAGATGGGTGGAACATTGTGGAGGGAACAGTATAGGGAGTATTGGCCTGTGCTCTTGGTCTTCTGGGAAATCAGAGTCCTCTGAAGAACAGTATCAAAAATATGCCAAGGTTGGACTTAATCCCTATGCACGTATAGACTGACCCTTGTCACAAGCCCCGTGGTAACATTTTTCTGTGGTCCTGTGACAGATCAGGCACCTGACTCTCCAGCTGAAGCCCGGGTTGCCTTGCCTGTCCTCTCCACATGGTTATAGAGGTACTGAACTGTAAAACTACTGAATTTCTGTCAGTAGTTGTGTGGGCATGTGGTCTCTATGAGTAGCTAGGCAGCGTGGGGCATTCAAAGGACTAGCTTCTTGGTCCCTCTCCCCTGGTGAAACAGGATGGGGAGAGAAGCTGCTCCTGCTCTCCCTGTGCCCATGGCACCCTTTAGTAAAAAAATGTTCTTGTTGGAGAACAGCCCTGGCAGCACAGATGTGTTTCCTGGCTGCTTGTCTACTCGTGGCTTCCTGCTGTTCCAGAGGGCACCACGGATAACATCGCCATGCAGGCGCTGGAGCACATCCACTCCAACGAGGTGATCATGACCATCGGGTACTCGCGCACGGTGGAGGCCTTCCTGAAGGAGGCGGCGCGCAAGCGCAAGTTCCAGGTGATGGTGGCAGAGTGCGCGCCCTTTTGCCAGGTGAGCTGAGGACAGCTTGTTACCCTACCCCGTGTCCTTCGGTCCGAGGGCTGTGGCTGTGCTGCGGTGGTTGGTACTGTTGTGGTTCAGGCAGGAGCTGGGTGCTCATATGTGCGGGAGCTGCATCCCAGGGGACCCACTGGGTTCTCCCTCTCTCTAGGGCCATGAGATGGCTGTCCGGCTGTCTAAAGAGAACATCGAAACGACTGTCATGAGCGACGCAGCCATTTTTGCTGTCATGTCTCGAGTCAACAAGGTAAGGAGGGCTCTGCTGGAGGAGGTAGTTCCTGGAAGGTTTGGAGCCTAGATGTCCCAAACCAGGTGCAGGTCCTAGCAGTGAGGGATGCGTTTCTTCGCTGATGAGTCAAAATGGTAATACTCCCTATTTACAGCTGGGGTGGAGACCCAAGTCAGTACAATGACTGACTGCACAGGGATAGGTTTTGCTGCCTTAGTGGCTAGGAGACAGAACACAAGAAAGGATTAACTACCTTTTTTAAAAAAAACAAACATGGAACAAAATCCAGCATTTCCAAAGGGTAGGAACTCCCTTTGTGTGCAACACAAGATGGGTGGTGAAGGGAATCACCAGGGTGTGTCTTTTTTAACAGACCTGTTCTGTACTTTATAGAGACAAATCACTTATACAAAGCTTACTTTGCAGGCTTGTAGAACAACAGGGGTCACAGCCCAGCTTCTGCTCTGTGTTCCCTGCAGTAGCACTTATGTTTGTCCTCTAAAGTTCTCCCTGCTGACCTCACCATGCTGGAGTCCAGTTCTTGTTAGAGAGGAACATCTCGGTTCAGAGCCAGTGCCAGATGAAACAGATCAGGCATCCAGCTGCCCTGCAACTCCATCCAGCCTTTGGCTGGCAGTTCTGACTCTCCTCATCTGGCAGGGTCCGAGCCAGGAAGTGTTTCTTCTCCAGTTTGCCATGGAACATGCTATCTAATGCTGATTTGCCTTTTAAGGTCATCATTGGTACAAAGACAATCCTGGCCAACGGTGCCCTGATTGCGGTGAGTGGGACTCACACTCTGGCACTGGCAGCTAAACACCATTCCACTCCGCTCATTGTGTGTGCCCCCATGTTCAAGCTTTCACCACAGGTAAGTGCAGCAGCTCTTCACGACTGCAGCTGCTCTACATAAGAGATGGGGGGGTCATTCTATGCTTGTAGAAGCTCGTGGGGTGGAGTGCATCACCTGTCCCAAGGCAAGGTTAGTACATGAGCCATCTGTCCCATCTATCAGTGTTACTTCAGATAGGAGATCCTCGCCCAAATCTGGCACACCTCAGGATCCTCTTGGAGCACCCTCCTCTGCCACATGTGCTGAGTAAGCAGTGCACTGGGGCTGCAGTGCAGGATGTAGACCAGTCCCTACTAGAGACAGATACCACCATACTTAGTTGCTTCCAACTGCAGTGGATTTCAGTGTGTATCTTGTCAAAAGACCCTGACAGAGGAGGTAGATGGAGATGCTCCAAACTGATTGTCACACTCTGTACTTTTTCAGTATTGTCAGATGAAGTTGCAGACCAAGGAGGTCACTTTGGCTTTGCAGAAGGTCAGCCAGCCAGGTCACAAGAGGCTATGAGGAAGAACCTTTCACCTGTAGATGTTACAGAAGTTCTAGGCACAGACATAGACACTGTTAAACAGATGTAGTGTCACCTAGCAAGTCGTCTTCCCCTGCTTTAGTTTCCTCTAGCACCCAGGATCTGTTTTCACCAGAGTAATGAAGCAGCCTCTTTTCCTGACCTTCCTCTCGTCTTTCTCATTTAGTTCCCTAATGAAGAGGATTCATTCCACAAGTTTGTGTCACCACAGGAAGTGCTGCCGTTCACAGAAGGTACTGGCTCTCTATACAGACTGGTCAAGCTGGTTCAGCCTATAATTTTATTTTTTTTTTTATAGCTCATGTAAAATATAAATGTAAGACTGTTTGTAACTCAAGACAGAAAATCCTTTCCTGTTGTCTAAGGTGCTGGAGACCATCCTATTTTATAATTAACTTTCTATTATAGATAGTACAGGAAAAGGATTTCCTTTGAACACTATCTTTGCACTTTTCCTTCTGCTCTGAAATAGTGTTTTATTACAGCATTGTGATGATGGTGCCAGGCAGGTGGCAGTCCTCTGTGGGATGGAGCAGATGCCCAACACTGAGGGCAGCTTCCTTTCCTTCCTACAACTCAACATTAACTTCGTTATGTGATCCACTTGTTGAAATCTAGTGTCTCTGCAATGGGCTTCCCACCCAAGTGCCACCTTTAAAACAGTTCCCAAGCCCATTTCCAGATAGTAAAGTCTTTTTTAAAGCCCCATTTCTATGTCACAGCCTTTTGAAATGAAGATACTTGGTTTGGCACAGGGTTTTATTTTTTGCCTTCTGAGCCTTTATTGAAATAATAACTTTGGCAGCATCAGGATTCTTGCATTCTAATTACATACTGGCAGGTTTTCTGGCAATTAGTGAATCTGCACCAGAGAGGATCTGGATTGGTAAAAACTACCAAAAGAGAATGCTGTCACTCATCCAAGGTTGCTGTATACTTGTAATTCCACAACAACAGTGAGGAAGCTGGATGTCCCAGTAGTGACTTTCAGGCATGTTTCTTCAGGGGCTCAGGAAGACACACAGAAGGCTGCATTTACTTTCTTGGAGCTGCTTTGTCTAATGCTGCTTTTCACTTTACAGGGGAGATCCTGGCAAAGATCAATGTTCACTGCCCAGTGTTTGACTACGTCCCTCCAGAGCTCATTACTCTCTTCATTTCTAACATTGGGGGTAACGCGCCCTCCTACATCTACCGCCTCATGAGTGAGCTCTACCATCCAGATGACTATGAGCTCTAGTGCCGTGAAGCTTGTCACTCTCCAGACTTCTGGTTTTCTCTTGAGAAAGATGCCAACAGCTAATTAAAATGTGCGTTGCAAAGACAGGTTCCTGTGGGGAATCCCTGGGGAATTTGCTCAGCATTGTCTTTCCTCCCCAAAAGCCACAGAAGGCAGAGCTCTTGTTCAGGTATTGATCCCTGTGCTGTGTTACAAGCCACGTGGAGCTCCTAACCCACTTTGGTTTTGAAGCAGCAAGGCATATGTGTACCACTCTCGGGCAGCTAAGCTGTTCCTTCAAGGTGTGCTGCAATAAAGGCTGTTTACAGTGGTCTCCCTGTTAAACATGTTTTCCATATACAGTTCATTTGTTTATTTAGCTAGCAGGAGTTTTGCTGGTGTAGTGAGATGCCTGCACCTATGATGCAGTTGCAGGCTTTAAGGTGTGCTTGCACTTATGAACATGATAGAAAGCCACTGGCAATTGTCTTCAAAAGGGATTTTTGGGGTAGGATTTTCTGAGAATTTTTAGTGCGTTACTGAAGTACAAACCAGCTTTTGTACAATCCTGGAACGGAAATTCCATTCGTGATGAAAGGCAGACCTTCCAAAGTCCTGTCAGCTAGCTTGTCCACCTCCCTGTCAGAAGGCAGAGCTCAGCTCTTGCCTTTTGTACTCTGAGGGTCATTCCTGCGCTGCTTCACTCACTACACTTATTCTTTTTGGCTGGATATCTTGTCTCATTTGTAAAGTTCTTGATTTTTGTGAAGGGCAGCATGGAACAACTTAGAAATCTCAGGCTCTTGCAGGTCAGTCCGGTCACTTTTGCTTAGTCCCTTTTATCAATGTATGGCACTACGCTGTAAGCCAATTAAGGCATCAAATGAGAGCATTTTCCACTTCCCTATTTTGCTTCTGATTCAGATGTCAGTATTTATCAGATTTGATTTGAAGTTGGATGTCTGTGATTAAACAAAGACACCATCTTCTTTTACCATATTGAAATAAACTCTATTCCTCTAGCTTAGACTAAGACACAAAATAGAACTGGAACCTGTAAAAAAAAGTCTGTCTACTGTAAAAGATACTGTGAGCTATTCAGTTATTTCTATGAGGGTAGGTTTCTGTACCCTGAGACTGGGGCTATGCTAAGATTTAGAAATCTCGCACTCAAGAATTCAAACTGCAGAGAGCTGGAGAAAACAGCTGGGTGTGTCATTTGCTGCCTAGTTAAATAAAAAGAATGTTTTCTGATCCTAAGTTGGCCTGTGTAGACTATGAAGCTGGTCAGTCCTGATTCCAGTCACTGCCATGAGCCCAAGGAGAGTTTAATATTAATTTTATTCATAAATATATCCCCTTTTTAAAGGACTATAAAATACATTAATTAGAAATATCTCTTTTTTGCAGAGAAAAAGCACTGCAGTAACTGTGAGCAGCTGGAATTTCTTGCCTCTGATAGTCAGGGAGTGACATAAGATGCAGGCTTAAGATATAATTGCTTCACATTGAAGATTTTTCTCCAGGCTACACGGGTGGGCTCCTCCTGCCATGTTCTCCTGGCTGGTCTCTACTGCTTAGGTCAGTACTTGGAGCAGAACTTCAGTTACTCAGGAACTTGGCTACACACAGGGTATTATGGGGACCTGCACCACTTGCAGGGGTTGCTGCTTACACTCTTCACTTTCTGATTAGGGTCTGTTTTTCCCAAATAGCTGCCATGCTCGCGCCATCTTCCGCAGCCTTGCCAAGTTAGGTTTAGGCTGGAGGGAGAAAAAATAAGAAGCACTAAATCATAACTAAGTAAATACATTTCAATGCCTTCATACTCTTTGCTCTAATAGTCATTCCCAGTTATTTTAGTATCTAATTCACAGTCCCACTTGACTTGCAACATAATTCCATTTCATAATTTAATTTAGCACAGTAATAGCAAAAAGGAAGAAGTAATGATTAAAAAACCAACTATTTAGATATTGCTATTTTGTTGCCTTCGCCCCCATTTTATCGCATCTTAAACTTTGGGGAAGTAGGCATTTGTTTAATTAGCATCTTTGCCACTGCTAGAGTATTAGAATGTACGTTTTCCAAGTTTTACACTTAAAAACTGCAAACACTTAAAAATACATGCTTAACTTAGAGGACTAGTTGACCCCACTAAAGTCAATGTGACCACTCAAATGAAATATGCTAAGACCCTTGCTGAAGTGTTTGCAGGACAGAGGTTTAATGTTCTCAAGTTTTATTTTATTGGTAACAGCTATGTAAAAATTCACATAAGATACAGGCAGTGGCGATGGTTTCAAACTGGTCTGTGCTAGCTCTAACACACACATACATGACATGCCTCTGATAATGCAGAGTGTGTGTTTTATCAGGTGTAACTGTCCCACACAATACCTGCTTTTCCTGCTGTAGATGGTCTGTGTCTGCAAGAGGCATCATGGAAGGTCTTCCATGAGCACACTGGAAGGGCAGATGGCAAGATGACAAAGTTTCAATAAGCTTGCAGCTTTCCTCCAAAGTCAAATGCTCATTAAACTTAATAGCTCCTGAAAAAAAGATATGAAGTCTTGCACTCATTGCCAAAGAGAATTCAAATCACCCAGCAGACCTCCTTCCACATGTAGTTTTCACAGAAAGCAGGGCAGAACCCAAAGATTGTCTGGGAGGCTGCAAAGGCAGCCCAAGGCCTGTGGTATGACAGACTTAGGGCTTAGTTCAATTAACCAGCCTGTTGCACAAGGAGCAGCTTTCCGTGGCCTGAACTTTCGCCTCACCCAAATCTGATGCATAGTAATGTTACTTTTTGCTTTTCAGAAGATGTTGCAAGAGGTAAATAGGCTGCTTTTGTTGTTTGGGTTTGTTTGTTTTTTTAATTGAGTGTGTGACAGCTGAAGGCACAGCTGCTTAACAGGTCAAAAAGTATTAAATCAAGATGACTAGTAAGTTCCATAGGCTTTATCAGTTCTATGTGCCTACCACTGACAGGCATCAGTTCCAAAATCCAGTGCCAGCCCTGCCACTTAATGGCATCCAGAGGAAATCCAGTCGGAACATTAGGAGTCATTTCAGAGGTGTCTGCAATCTTTAGCCTTCACAGATATACAAGACCATCTGCAATCTGCCTTACAGCCATGGGACTTTTTTAGATAGTAAAAAAAAATACATATTGTCTGCCATTTTAGAATGCAGTGACACTGTGAAAATAGACACTTCTGGTTCACGTTCACCCTTTCAGCATAACCTTCTTAATACTGTATATGGCACAGGAACTGCCACAAGAGGCTAGAGCTGCTGCATTCTACACCTGTAAGGTCTGCTCATTTCCAGGTGCTGGAAAATCATAGTCCCTTAGAAGATGTAAATTCCTACTGCACTCCTTCCAAAATACTGAAAAGGTCACAGGCACATTTCAACTAGCAATTGTGATACTTACATGAAATGAAAAATGCATTTTGGGAAGACTAAGCCTTATTTCCTGCTTTCTTTCAAGCAGATTCCAGCACCCTTGCCCCTTCACAGAGCTCACAAAGATGAGTGCATCACAGAATGGTATTCAGTGTTTCTTGTGAGGGGATTGGAAAGTACATTAGGCCCATGTATGAATAAATCAGTGCAGTATTGCTTATCCCTCCTAGTGCTTTCTATGAAAAGACCCATTATCTCCTCATCCCTATGAAACGCATGGCCTGTAATCCTGAATTTCCTGCACATTCTGCACCCCATGCCCCAACGAGAATGTTGTGTAGGAACAAGAAAGAAAAAAAAAAAAAAAAGGATGAAAGAGAAGTACAGTTCCCCTACCATGACAGGCCTGGGAAGCTAACACCTTCAGATACGTCAGAGGCAGTGTCCCTCGTGCTCCTCCTCCTGCGGTCTGCACCAGCTAAAAGTAGTAAGGGAACATCATCTTACTTTCCATTTAACATAAGAGAAACGAAGAACTGTAACAAAAGAAAAATGAGGACAAGCTAGTGGATGACCTAGTCCACCTCCTTCATTTGGGGCTTAACACACTTTCAACCTTTGGTTCACGCAGCAAGCTTTGCATTAGTATAGTCAACTTTAGAAGCAGAGTGCAACTCACCTCAACCTGTTCTTGAATAATCTCCTGGAAAGAAAAAGGGGATATAATCAGTTTCTATGTCTCCCTTTTATTGTCCCTACCCTTCTTTGCCTGCAGCTGTGTACAATTTACTGTGTAACTACCAGAAGCAGGAAAAAGTATGCTGTTGCTAGTACACTGGCCACAGTGTGAAAGATCTAGGGGCAAGTCTTGACCTCTCACAAGTATCTTATCAGACTTCAAGCTAATCACTGGGTTTCTCTCTGCATCTGTTCCCTATGTGTCAAATGGGTATGGTCAAAATCTTATACCTCATGTGTGTGGTATATATATACCATGAATGTGTGTTATCTTTGAATACCTACCCTTTCTTCTTTGGATAACAGCCAATGTGGATTTAATTTCTCATGTCTAAAATGTCATGAATTCATGATGAACCATGAGTAGCTGCTACCAGTCCTAATTAAAATAAAAAGGACTGCAGAATAAATCTGCCAAAATGCTCGTGAGATCTTGAGGCATTAGCTAAGAATGAGTGTTCATGAGACACAAACCTGATCCCCTCCTTTGACTTTTGGCTCCCAAAATCACAGTAGGAGAGGGCATTTTGAGTTCTTCCTGATTTTAGGAAGGTTGGAAAAGAAAATTTAATCAGATAATTCATCTTCTCCATTTCTTCTTTTTGTATCAAGAGAGATGTCAAGACTGGACTGGTTCACAATGGCTCAGCCTAGTGGCTGAATATGGTACTCCAGAAACAATTTTTAGGGAGTCTTTGAAGCAGTTATGGCTGTGGAAAATTGTTTACAATGGAAATTGTAAGTAATTGGTTCAGCAATTTCTTCCTCAAGCTGCAAAACACCTCGAACTGCAGCTTTTAGAATGTTGCACTGCCCAGAGAGAAACTTCATTAAACCAACTTTAAATGCTAACAAATACTCCTGCATCAGCAATACTAATTATTTTACTGCTCATTCACGCATTCATGAGCAGTAAACTGTTGAAACTAGTATCTGCACTAGATTCTACTTTCCTTAGTTTGTCCAGTAGCCCAAGTCTGAAACATTCTCCTATAGTTTCTGTTATAGTTCAGGGATTTCAGTTGTGGGACTACTCAGCTACTAAAAGGGATGGCACCCACAGTTGCCAAGGGACTTGTCTGCCTCATAGCAGAGATACTCTGATACCCTGGGCTGAACACAGAACAAGACCAAATATCACAATTTCACCCATATCCACAGCTGACCTCCACAATGCTTTTAGAGACAGGTTGTCTTTTCCGTCGTACTTCACCGGCTTCTCTTTCTATACAACAAAGTGGCAGTCTCCTCACTAGAATCAAGGAGCTGTTGGTCTCAGGAAATGATAATTCAAGACCCAAGTCCTCCATTTTTTTGTAGCAGCATCTGAGGAAAATAACAGCATAAATAAGACATCAACCACAGTAGCTCTGTCTCCACAGCATGTGTAAATATTTCTGTATTCCCCATATATGTTTCTTCCTGCCACAGTTTCCAATCTCAAAACTAATGCATCAGGAGATTCCAAGTAATTTTGATTTTCAGCCCACATGCAGCCATATTTTTTTACTTTAACCAACTGTGCATACTTCAAGTTCCACGACCACAAGATCTAAGAGTCTGTGTATTACGAGAGAAACTTCATGTCTAAATGTATAAATCTATATTTTCCAAAGATGCATGAGATGTCTGGTTCAACACACAAACACTGAAACTACACTGCATAAAGACTCCTTTAAGTCTAATACAAAAAACTAGGATTTTGATTGATCCCTTATGATGGAAAAAAAAAATTGTAAGAAATTTATGCTTATTTAATGAACTTACACCCCTTTAAGCAAAGAGAACCCAGGCAAGAACAGCTTCTAATTAATCTGACATACGTCATCTTCTGGATGGAAAAATACACACAAAAATTGGACTTCCCAGTCAGGTGAGAACTTGTCCTCAAAACAACGGTAACAACATGTAGTTTTATTAACTCAGAAAATATTAACTTAAAACAAAGGTGGTGAAGGTCAATTTTAGAAAAGAGATTATTTAAACAAAAAAGAAGCTAATCTCAACTTACTAAAATCAGTTATGAGAGTAATACAATTGCTACATATTGAGATGACTTATAATTCTACCCCAAAAAAAGAAGACATGTATGGTCTTCAGCAACAGCAGAGAAAGACAGAAAAAGCCCATTGTGGTGAAATGACAGAATGCAAGCAGCTATTGAAATCAATCAGGTATTTTTTGTTTGGGGAAAAAAAAAAAAGGAAGTTCAAGAGAGTCAACAGAACAATGCATTACTACAATGCTTAGTAGAAAAATAACAAAATCAAAGCTGCAGGTGAACCAGAGGTCCAGCTGAACTATTAAATAGCAAGCATAGCTGAAGAGGAAGGTCTTTTAGGGAAGTTAATTTATTTCATCATATCAAACCTTTATCACAGAATATAGTCATGCTCTGCCAGCAATAATAACAACAGAATATAGGTTTCTACATAGTAGTTTTAATTTGTAACTGATTAGTAAGGACAGTCTCACAGAGTGATTGTAAAAAGATGAACTGCCAATAAATACTGATAAAATAAGACAAAACACAATAAAAGCACCAGTAAGCCAGCACAAGTAAGCTTCTTTAATCCATTATCTCAAGTGATAACTGAAAATCACAACTGGCATCCCACTAATAATTTCACCACTAATTCCTAATAATCCCACTAATAATTTCACCACTGTCCTTAAAAGAAAACGGTGGTGAATAATTTCACCACTGTCCTTAAAAGAAAACGATGCCTCTCTGATTTACTTTAACTTACTGTTCTTTGTAGTATGTTTGTAATGAAGAAAAGCAGCTCACAAAATTTATTTGGTCTTTCAAAAAGCCCTTGGTGCCATCTCTTAAAAGTGGCTAGAAATGCAAACACAAGAAGTTGTCATAGCAAGAGAAGTCATATTTGTCATGATTTAGAGATAATGGAAAAAAGGTATGCTGGCAATAACTGGTCAGTGCGCAACATGATGCAAGTCCTGATCTGTATCTTCAAAATTGTTTGTTAATGATGTAGAGAAGGAAGGGCATGGTCAAGCAGGCAAATTTGTAGAAAACACAGTTGAAACAAGCAGAAAAATGATGAATTAAATCAGTAGGATGAATGAAAAGTGTATAAGGAAAAATGGACAGAGAAAATGAATTAATCGTTCCTAAATACAAATAAATGGAAATTACCAGCAATAGTCTGACCTATTTATACATTTTGTTGGCTTCTACAAAAATAGAAAAAAAAAAACAACAAACCCACAACTCTGTGTTTCATTTGCATGACAATTCAATAAACAAGCAGTTCATGCAAACAGCAGTAGTCAAAAAAGCAGACAAAATATCAGGAGTGGATATAACAGACAGAAAATGTGGGCACAACTGCAAAGCGACTGTACTGGGATACCCTCATGTAGTATATTGTACTAAATTTTGACCATCCAGTCTCAAAAGCAAATATAAGAGAAATGGGAAACATTCAAAGATGAGTGCAAAAATCATTCAAAGTTGGACAAGAGGAATTACAAACATTGTGGTTTTAGTAAGAATGTCACTAAGAGTTGGGAACAACAAAGGTATCCAAATATTACTGAAATATGACAAGCAATGGTTACGTTCTCACACTTTTCCCTAAAGCACATGGAACATAATACTGCTTTACACTTCCATTTAGAATTTCTGGTGTTGGCCGTTGTCACACAAAAGAGTTACAACTGGATACAGCAGTGATACTGTTGCAGTTGGAATGCACCCAATAAGGGCTTTACACCAAACAGGTGTATCCATATAATGGGCCATAATCTTAACAAGGAGTGACTTAAAAGTTGTTGAGTTTGCCACAGGCATCACAAAAAAAAAGCAGTCTGCAAATAATGAGATAGTGCTGGGAATATTAAGATAGAACTTCACCTGAAAATGAAGAACAATGCAGGGTAAAAAAACCCACAAATTCATGTGTCAGGTGATAGACAGGGATTTTTTGGGAAAAGTTTTCTTAGTGCCAAATAGTTCTGCAACAGACCAAAACCAAACCTGTAGCCAAACTCCTGCAGTACAAAAGTTAAATATCCTAATAGTACCCAGGCCACCATTCTGAAACATTTGGGAAACAGTGCCCATGAAGTACTCTTGGCAGGCACCTAGGATTAAGGAATGCATTTCTGAAGTATTCACAATACAAACTTTCCATGTCCCACCCTGCTCTTTGCAAACAGTGCCTGTTAAACCACTGACTAGATGGATACTATGGGCACTGCACTCTAGTGTGCACTCCAAGTCCCGAGCCCCAGACAGTAGGATCTGCTGGCAGCTGCTTTGGCACTCTCCAGGCCCACACATGAAGGTTTACTTTCCCAGGAAAACCAGAGCACATTGCAGAGGCACAGCAATGGCACACCACAGCCTGTTGTCTTGAGATGCTGCAATGACGTGCCTGAGAAGCACACCTACTTTCCTCAGCACAGATATAGCCAATTGGGCTTGGCTCAGGAAAGAAAAACAGCTTCTATCCTGAGCTTCATGGTAACCTACCAATATGTACAGATCTTCCTGGTCAACACAGGCATCCCCAAAAGTTTAGACCTATTGGCCAGTTACTAACCGTAGAAATCTTCTTTGTTCTTCTGTAACTTCAATCTCCAAAGGGGGAGAGATGGCAGAGGACAGCAGTTTCTTCTTGCCACATGCTGCAGCTTCCTTGTCATAGGAATCTGTGAATGAATCATTTACAACTATCCTCTCTCAGAATATTTATGTAGGCATTACCCTTAATGACCCTATGGTTTGGCATGTAATCCTCTGTTTGGATTAAAAAGTGACCACAGAATGCCTTCTCCTGAAACTTGCGGAGGACTGGGAATGTCACAAACCAGACATCTAGACTCTGGGGAAGGGCTTGTTAATGCCACTTTGTTTTTTTCCCACCAGTTCCAAAAAAGAGTCACTCAAAATAGCAAAAAACACTGATGATATATTTAGTGCAACTCACAGAAAGCAATTTTTCCACAGAAAAGTCTGACATGAATGGCACTAAAATACTATTCATTAAGCATTTCTCCCTGCAGTCTAACTTTTTTCAGTACCTGACCAAAAGGAACAGAATTCCTGGAACCCTCTCTGCAGGAACTGCACAGTCTTTATACATGAAAGAGACGGTCAATGATTTTTAAGTACTTGGTGGATAGTTATTGTGCTTTTTAACACTGAAACCAATAGCTAATGAGCTTACAGAGAAGACCATTATCCCTTTGCAAACAGATTAATTTTGTGGAAATTTTAGGCTTTAAGTACAGTATTCAGCTAAAAAGGATCCAAATGAACTATGCTCTTTACTCTGCATCCCATGTCTTATTCTTCACAACATAACCACATAATCTTATTGATGTTGTTCTATTTCCTCTTCATTGTTTTTCCTATCAGTCTTCCTGCTCTTTCATTATGTGAAGACTATTTTAGTATGATAGTTCTGTGGGTAGGGAGTAAATCTGCTATTTCAGCTCCCAGTATTATGACTGCTACAGATACTGAACGTCTGCACGCTCCTAGGATAAGGTTAAAGATGACAAATCAATATCCCATTGGTTCCATATATCCCAGATTTATCCTTGTGATAAGTTAGCTGGTCAGCTTTCCCTTTCAGACAGCTCGTACTTTTCTGTGCTCTGATTATCTTTCTAGGACCATCTGAATTCTCACCCGCAATAAGCTGCTCCAAGCGGATCCGTTCATGAGCTGCATGTTGGTCCACCAAAACCAAGAGGTTTCCATCTAAAATGTACCACAAGTGAATAGTAGTAGGTAGGCAACAGCACAGGTTGGAAAGAATTACCACTTTCTAGAGGCCATATTTAGAAGATAACAATCAGCCAGTTTTACAGAAATAAAGTGAGGAGGAGGCTGTGTTGGCAGAACATAAAGTTACTACTAGAACAGAACTTTAGTGATCCAAGTTGACATTTAAATCAAGGTAATTAGATTGACTCAGAAAATCTTGGCTATTGACATCTTCATCTGACTTCAGAATAAGAGCTGAGGTCACCCATAAGCTGTTCCATTTAATACAGTCTTTAAAAATGGTACAAAAACTACTGGGTTTGAATGCCTTTTTTGTACTGCTTCAGTAATGAGTATGTACAGACACTGTGAACAGAGTCTGAAAGATGTTAGTAATTTGAGTACAATCTATTTTTGTAACAGTAATCTGAAGGCAGCAGGAACATTCAACGACATCCAAAATAAAGAAGATCCAGGAAATTTCAAGTGAACACTAACATTTTCTTCTACTCTCAATATCATCCCAATGCAAGAAGAGAATCCAAACAGGACAGTGTTCCCTCTGCAGTCTAACTGCACTTGATAGCCACTTCAACTTCATGTTAATAACCACTCTTACCTGCCTTTTTATCCATTTCATTCCTAGTGTTTATTACACAAGCGATAAATTTATTGTCCACTTGCTGAAGAACCTGTAAGGTACACAAAAAGATCATTACTAAGTGGAAAAATTGGGTGAAAAATTGAGGTAAACAAAAGAAGAGAACAATCAAAATGGATCACACAGTGCAACAAATAGCTAGTAGAATGATTAAGGGGGCAGAAACCACATCTTTTCTAATCCTTAAAGAATTTGACCAAACAAAACTGAGACATGAGAAGGTATATAATTACTCTTTATAAAAACAGTGGGGGGCTAAATATGGAGAAGGCAGCAATTATTTAAGCTGAAAGACAATAATGGCAGGAAGTAAAATGACCATAAATTGGTCATGAAACAGTTTAGTCTGGAACTAATGGAAAGTTTCGAAATATCCAAGAAAATAGTTCTGGATCACTTTTTTCAAAGAGAGTAGTAAGGGCAAGAGCTCTAATTGTTCTAAGTTTGAGCTGGACATTTACAGATTGGCTTTAATGCTTCTGTAGTAGCCTCCTTCAATTGGGAATTAAAGCTCTGTACAGCAACCTGGAGTGTTCAATTCGCTGATATCACCCAAAGAGAATGTAAACAACCCTTTTCAACATGCTCTGTGTTTCAGGACTTGTGCTGATAGTGTGTAGGAGAAGGGAAGCACGTTTGCCCATCATTTTCTGATGTAGAATTTGCCTCTGTGACTTGATTCTAACTTCCCCTCGAGGATCAGAAATCAACCAGAGCTACAGAGAATACTAAGGAGGGATGCACAATGCTTTCAGTATCCCATTGTTAGATTTAATTTAACAGATGTGTTATGGAGGAATTTCTCCGCAGGTCACATAGGTAGAGCTCACTCTGAATTCTCTGTCTCACAGCATGTGCATTGTTCTAAAATGGTAAAAATGGTAGACAAATGAAGGTAAAAGTTAATAGATAATCCTGTGGATGCAGGACATTAATGATTATTCTCTTCCTATGTCACGATGCAACATTTTCTGGTTTTGGTCTTTTCTACAGAGATTCTCGAAATTGCTATAGGGTACTGAAGGCACTATTCAGCCTCTTCAAAGAGGGGAAGTGGTAATTTCTTCTAGCTTTGTCTTCTTGAAAAATATACAAAGAAAAACATTATGCAGAAGTAAATCACAGAACCACTCATTAAGTTTTAAAGAACTGTTCTTATAATGAAGAGTGAACAGAAAAATGGTACCTTCCATTGTCCAGCTCTCCTGTTTTTTTTGAAACATAATCTGTTTACTCTAGTAACTTTATTTACTCCTGTTATTCTTACATACACAACATAAGTAAAGGAATATTTTGGATCCTTGTCCACCCTGGAGATCAACATTACCATTTCCCACAAAGTCAGAGCCTGCAGTCTCCAAGTCAGCAACCTGACCGCATGAGAACCATGTTAACTGGGCTTGTAAGCCTTTTGTCATTAGGATGGAAGAGCAGGGAAGAACCCACTCTGGCGTTTCTATCCATGCAAACCACCAAAGAATATAAGTTGAAGCTGTAAATTCACATTAGCTTTTAAGCTAATATTCAAAACTTCTGATAAAGAAGCACCAAAATGTGATGCTTATGTGATTTAAGAAATTACATTTCAGTGCAGACATAAATCTTCAAGTGAAATTTCAAGCCTTTCCATGAAATCTGGGATTAGGTTTTGAAATTACTCTGCTGAAATATTACATTTCTAAGGTCAATAAAAATGGAAAATACAGGACACAGATGTCAAAAGAATATGCACTAAGAAATACCTGCAATAAATATAAAAAACTGTGCACTGAAACATTGTTTAGTTAGCAGTGTTTTTAAGCCAGAGTAACATGGGCTGCCTCTTGATTTAATTACACAGTCAAGGAATTGTAGAGTCACTTGCAGATAGCTGTTTAACAATGAGATGATACTGAGATCTAGCATGATATACACGTCAGCCTGTATCACACAGGAACCAAGAAGTCTCTTTGTGCTTGTGAAAATTAGGCATATGAACTATATCCCTGGATACCTCTTTCCTATGAGGCAGAAGCAGAAACATCAGCAAATCCCATAGGCTGAGTGTGAACTTGAAGGTGAAAACTAGTAAGCACATCATACTGTACCTGCATTGAATGAACCATGTCTTTGGTGAAACGATAAGGATACAAGATATTGTGAATTTTCACAGCCAGATCGTCAGCCTGACTGCTGGTCACATCAACAGCAATCTGTAAAAACAGAATTAGTGATCATGGAGGCTATAAAGGGTATGGCAAAAAAACCCAAACACAGGAAACACACCCCCAGCAAACCAGCTTTAGGAAAAACTGGAAATAACTCTGCATTTTGACAAACCAAGCTTTCTACACAAGAATAGCACTAGCTAAAGATAACATCCAGCAACCCGTTTTCTTCCATCCTCATATATTTTCCCATCTGGATATCTCCTGCTAAGTTCAACGCATCCAGATGATTTCAAATACCTGCCAGAAAACCTGAAGTTAATTATCAGCCTACACAGGCTCTCAATGGATTGCAATAAAGAAGATGTATTACCCTGAAATGAGTCAGAGTACACATCACAGCAACAACTGAACAGAACTGTTCTTTTTCAGAAACTCACCAGCAGGTGGTTTGCTACTCCTTCTCTATTGTTTGCAGGTGGAAATGGTTACATACATATGTTTACACACACACAACATGATGATTAAAGATAATGCTACCTCATGACTACAAAGGAAGTTTTTCTAAAAGCTCCAACATTGTTTCCCTCTCACATGCTATAATCCTGCCTGGCTATAAAAACAAATGTAGTAAAATACACTGTTAAGACACACTACATCTCAGAGAAAAAAAGTGGGTTATTTTTTAACCCTGTCCATGAAGAGGACAGACACTGTATTACAATTTTGCCATCCTATAACTTTTAAGATTACTATCTCTGTAGAGGGAAAGACAGCTTAAAATAATATTTTGCTTCTGAAATGATGTAAGACAAAAGATTAGCCTGATACTTGCTCCTCTTCCTTGGAATAAATCCACAAGAATGACTTAGATATAAACAGTCTATAAAAGTACACAACTGCCACGTCTACAGTCTGATATATCACAGAATAACTTGTATGCAACAGTCACAATACTTGCAGTTTTGGTCCCTATGTCAGAAAATAACAGAAGGCTAAACTGACTCCTATTTTAGCATGCAAGATATTACTTACCTGTGGGCAGGGGACAAAAACAGGATTATCCCATTCTGAAAGCAATGATTGGAGAGACTCCCCTTCAGCATCTAGGAAAGAACACATATATAATACAGGCAGTACCACCATCTGGCCATAAAAGGTGCATTGGGTACCTCTACCTCCACAAGTTTTTTGGGTTTTTTCTACCATAAAATGGGAAAATACAGAAATAAATAATGGAACATGTGACTGGGCTTCTTTATTGTCTGCTTTCACTAGGAAGGAGACTGTGCAGCTTTTCGACTCCTAAACATGCTGCAGCACAGTTCAACAGACCCTGGAAATGGGCTGGGGGGAGGGAAAGAAATACCCGTTTAGCCACCCGCTCCCCCTCGACAAAGCCACATACCAAAAAGATTATTTCATCCTTCCCACCACAAAAAAATATTGTGAGGATTGAAGCTATTTTTCACATTCCAATGTTGGAATGAGTATAAAGAAGGGAGTAGGTAATTATTCTTTAAAGTACTGACACAATTCAACAAAGAACTAGGTATTTTATCTGTAAATAAGTATCCTCTAACCTGCCTTCAACCCCATATGATTTTTTTTTTCCAGTTCTAGATTTGAGATGACTCACATGGTCCCATTGTTAACAGACCTTGAGTAATTCTGGGTTCCTGTCAGGACATCTGGGAGAATTCTTTGATTTGATTTTATTCTTTTTTAACACGGAACACTATGTCCTGGAAAGCTCACCCTACCTCTCAGATCCTGGCTTGCTAGAGTTCTCTCTTTTCGAGGTCTAGGAAGGAAGGGTAGCACAATCTCACTTCTAAAGGGATGGCACCTGAACTGAATCCCTAAACACAATATAGATTTACTGCTGCAGATTAAACACCATGCAAAGTTACAAAAAGCTACACATTCATTATATTCTCCTAAATGAGCATATGCTTAGCCCTGTACAAGGTAGAGTATCCCACAGACTCTGCAATCTAACATTGAGAAATAACAGAACATATGTAAAAAGCTGAGAATTATTAGACACACTTGCATTAGGAAATGTATTATTTTAAAATACTACTGTGGCTTCTGCGAGACTGTCCTCCTTAAAAATTGTCTGGTGCTTTAATCACTTAAGAATTATTTCTGGAATTAGTGCAGTCAGAAGTGTTATCCGAGGAAAGAGGAGACATGCAGTAAAGTCTGTCAGACATCAAAACACTTTTGACTTCCCTCTGTTAAGGTGTGGCAAAACTGTCAAGTCTATCACCACTTCTACCAATACTTAATACAGTCACCAGCGACTTGTAAAACTGAAAACTTGAAGTCAGTGAGACCGCATGAGATATCAGAGTAAGCCTAACAACATGTTCCTACCCACCCAGAAATGACTTAATGATATTGCAAACCAGCACTGTTATCAAGATTATCAAGAAAAGTGGTTCAGTTTTCTACCACAGCAGTAAACATTTCACCCTTCCTTTGGTACAATTCAGACTGCTATTCTTTGTGAAATAATAATGAATTAATATAAGATCCTTTCTACTAAGAAATTAGGGGTGTGCATTCAGGAAGAGTGGCAGAGAGATAACACCAAAGAAAACCAGCTGCATGCTGATAAGCTGAGCATGAAAAGGCTCTGTGAGATCCTCGGCCAGTGTGTAGACTCCTGACTGTTGCAGTAATGATGGTCCTACCCTGGGCACAGAAACTCCCTTGAAGAATCCAAACTGCCAGCCCAGCATAAGAGAGGAACTCAGCGTCCCTCTGTCACAAAACCCAGAGTAGAGGACAAGGCAGCTTGATGTAGTTCCTGGTAAACTGTGGCAAGCTGAAGAATGCTACTCAACTCAGACTTTGACAGAATTTTTATAGCTATTGTTTCTGGAAGATACTATCCCTCAAGTTCACAGAAGAATCTATCATCTGTGTGAACAGAAGCCCAGTACTATATACCAAGATCCACTTCTCTGCTATTTCTGCAGGGAAAATCCTCGTTCAGGACATACATTTTTTGGAAAGCTAGGCTTCTCTTGCCCAAGCTGGCAGAGATACTATTAATGATTTTTCTGGCACGTAACACCAGAAAAGGTGCGGAGGGTAATAATACATCTATATATGCAAACCACATATTATTACTATATTTGAATATTAACTTTCAGTTGCCTCAATTAGATCATTAAAATACACTGATGTAATAACCTATCTGACAATAGTGTAATAAAATTAAGAAAAAATGCAAACCTAGGTAGTACAACAATGAAGACCAAGTGGAACTGGGATGTTAATCTAGTACAAATTAGATTAAGTAAAAAGGCATCTGATGGGGAAATGAAGCTTGATACATTTTCCTGTAGCAATCAGTTTAATCAATACAAAATCTAGCATTTCTATTGTGCACATGGCATGTGACTGGAAAAAACAGCAGATGGCTACTGCTTATTCTTACCTCCTTCCACCTGCCACAAACTAGTGTAATTTCCTGAAATTTGTTTATGAGAAGCTGTTCTTAATAAATTATGGGCTTATGAAATTCCAAGTCAACACCACAGGGTTACTGACACTAGTCTAAAAAGCAATATGAAAGCATACATAGTAGGTGAAGAAATTATTCCATTCTTGGATCTTAACAGCAGTCCAAAACAGCGCTCAACATTGAGAGACATGAATGAGGTGTTAGGACATAGTTCTTTTTAGTCCTGTGACCAAAACGAATGAATACCCTTTTCTTGAAAAACACATGAAAGAGCATGTTTGTTGAACTTCGAAAATCTAAGATCTATAGGGTCTAGCCAGAGTCCAAACACCTTGTTACAGCCTGGGAGGTCTGACCTTCAACCAAAGCAAAGCAAAAAAGCTGGAGTAGACACCTCACCAAAGAATAACACCATTGCCAAGGTTAAGAAAGAGTGGTACCATTGGTATGATGGAGAATAACACCAATGATAAGCCTAAGAAAGAACAATGCTATAAGATGTAAAGAGATGCAACACAATATATGTCTTCAAAGACTACAGACTATACCTAGTCTGAAAGCATAAGGGTATGGGAGGTATTCTCTTCATTAACATGGATGCACCATCCAAACATTATGGATAGAAGGTCAAGCTCCACATCTCAGTACTTTCACTGGCTACTAAACAGCACTATGGGCAACTGAAATTGGTAAACCACAGAAATGAAAAGTGTTAGACAAGGAGTGTACATTTGTGCTTGCAAGTAATTTTACTTGCTAAAAAGAGAGATGTTTTTCTCCTTGTAACACACTTTCTTCAGTGGAACACAACAGATATTAAGAATTATCAGCATCAATTATTATACTGAAAAGGGAAAAAAATGAAACACCTACTGCACCACTGTTTCTACAACTGGTGATACAGAAGGAAGTAACAGACAAGAATGGAACAAGCCAGAAGCTATCACGATTGATTAGACCAGTATTTCCCAGGAAAACTATCTAGAAAGAAGTTCCAAAGTATTTTTTCAAAACAAATTATACAGTAGAAAATATGGTATACATGAAGAATGGCTGCATCTTCACTCATAAAATCTGTCTATACACACACCAATGAATCACATAGAACAAAGACAGATGCATGCAAGGGAAAGTTACCAAATACACTATTCTGTGAAGCCAGATCAGGAGGACACAAAAAGCCAAACCTGACACAGATCAGTGAAGACTCAAGAACACCACATCCCTGAAAAAACAATATACTGTAGTGTCTTGTCACCCCTGGAAAAGCTTCACCATCAAACCACCAACAATGCCATACAACACCTACAAAGCTAAGTATGAAGGAACAGGTTTCCAAAATCTGTGGAAAAGAGACTACACCTTGTCAATGAAAGAGGTATATTTTTCTTCATTTTTCAAAGGTTGTTTTAAATTTTGTACGCTATTAAGACAAAATATTTAAAACCATGGAATTTTTCTAGTACACATACTTCAAAGTGTTCTTCACTTTATCTATAACAACAATTACATATAACTGTCATCACAGTATGTCATGATGCGCAGGCAGTTGCCTGTTATATGACAAGGTGTTGACATTTCTTTTTACTGTCTGATTAAAAAATATCTTTTAGTGTCTTGAATGTTAATGCATTACTGTCTCCATAGTCTACCACGCTCCTCTGTTTTACATACAGCTATTATAAGGCAGTGGATTTCAGTATAAACTGCCAGGTGCTGTCAGCAAGATATTTTACCCACCTAGCAGAAGACAAACAGGTTTCCTCATTCCATTTGTATAACAACCACCACCACCCCTCTTACCATTCTCTGAGACAATGTTCACAGCCATTGTTGTGATATCTTGAATGCAGGCAGCTTGAAAT